TGTCCAGGCTGTCCTTTTGGCCTGTGAGGCAAATCTCTCTCTTTTCTTTGGCACTGGGAATTGACCCCAGGGGTGGTCTACCACTGAGCCACATCCCATCCCTTTTTATTTATTTTTTTCTTGAGATAGGGTCTCACGGAGTTTCCCAGGCTGACCTGGAACTGGGTCCTCCTGCCCCAGACTCTTGAGCGACGGGGATTCCAGACTCGCACCACCTCACCCGCCTGGTTTCAAACCTCTCCTTAAGTGGTCGGCTTTCTGGGGGAAGAGGTTCCTGAGCCGGGGAGACACCTCTCTGTGCTCTCTAGGCCTCCTCCTCCTCACCTCCATGGGGCAGTGGTGGCAGACATACCTGGCTTCCCCTCTGAGTGGTCAAGGACTCTGGCCGACCCCTTCCCCAGCAGGCTCTACCCAGGGGCTGCCCCCACTCACCAGCACCTGCCTCTGAGCAGTGCCCCAGGTGCAACCCTTGAGCTCACCAAGGCTTTGCACGGGGTACCTCGACATTCTCCTGGGTTGTGGAAGGAAGGAAAGGCAGATATCATACAGCAGAGAATTTCATGGGCTGGGGGGGGCTTGGGAGGCAAGTTCTGGCTTGGGGAGTATTTGAGCCAGTGGGGGCACTCCACCACCGAGCTACATCCCCAGCCATTTTTAAAAATTCATTTATTTATTCTAATTTGTCGTACGTGATTGCAGAATGCACTTCAATTCATAGTACACTTGTAGAGCACAACTTTACATATCTCTGGTTGTCACAAAGTAGAGTCACACCATTCGTGTCTTCATACATGTACTTAGGGTAATGATGTCCATCTCATTCCACCATCTTTCCTACTCCCATGCCCCCTCCCTTCCCCCCTCCCCTTTGCTCTGTATAAAGCCACTCCATTCCTCCCATGCTCCCCCTCACACCCATAATGGATCAGCATTCACACATCAGAGAAAACATTGGGCCTTTGGTTTTTTGGGATTGGCTAACTTCACTTAGCATTATCTTCTCCAACTCCATCCATTTACCTGCAAATGCCATGATTTATTCTCTTTTAATGCTGAGTAATGTTCCATTGTGTATATACACCACAGTTTCTTTATCCATTCATCTACTGAAGG